GCGGGGACGATGAATGAATTTCTTAACGGGGCGGGGGACGGGGAGGGCATCCCCGCCCCGCCCTGTTGCCATCCCTATTTGGGACGGAGACAGGGCGCCTAGGTGTCGGCAGCTATATATTGAAACAGCGAGCCAGCTTCAGGACGCTGCAGTGCTCGTTATGCTATTTTATCTCCTATTCCATTTTTAATGTTATTTCTGATATTTTACTTCAACTACAACTCTACTATTAGGGTTTGGACATCCCTTATTTATTCCTTATACATAATTGACTCTTCTTTATGATTTAGTAAGAAATTAGACAAAAGTTGTAAACATAATTCTTTGTATTCTTTCTCCATATTATAATAAAATCTTCATTCTCTGCAAATTATTTTATTCTTGTATTCATGTGATCTATTACTTCATATTGTGGCTACAATCTCCTATTTTCTCCAACAATTTAGTATTGGATTAATTCGGTACCATTTTCGCTTTTCACAACAATCTGCTATATATGTGTAGGTTTATTTCTTATGCACCATCATTATCTTAACATGCATTTCTTGCTCTTCTTTTTTGCTTTGGTTAAGTGTTGTTTTTAAGGTGGAAAACTAACATTGTAGGTCCAATTCAAGAAAATAGAAAATTGATTGTAGTAAGAAGGAAAATCTTTTAATAGCTCTCTCTAACACAAATAATATGGTGGTTTCCCATATGCAAGGTAGGATGTAGGATGTTTATAAGGATAGAAACTCTTTCTAATATTTTCCCTTCGGTGTGAAGCAATATAACTTTTTGTGTTTGAATCAAACCCTGGTTCTCTCTTATTTGATGCTCCCAGCATTTTGTTGGCTAAACGTGTTTGAGAAACACACTTCTATTAATGAAACTTTTCTCCTAATGCTTGATGTGTGCTTTGTTTCTGACCGTTGGATGCCAAATGGATTATTTACTTGGTCTTGATGGCTCTTGGGTTTTCAGACGGTTCACTTGGCTTCTGGAGACTTCTAGGGCTCCTACGTGTTTGAGAGAAAAAGAGAGAAAGAGAGAAAATAGGCTAGGGTTTGCTGTCATGTTTTGATTCACTTAAAATCTCTAGTTTTAAGTATTGTGTATGATAGAGTAACCTTCGTTGTATAATATTCTGAGTGAATGTTGTGAGGATCTGTGTGATTTCTCTGTTGTGGTTTTCTAGTGTTGGTCGAAGGGTTATTTAAAGATTTCTTGGTGAATCTTTGTAGATCTATAATTGTATTTTGAGAGATAAGTCTCTTGCTTCATCTCTCTGAACATTTGTAACTTTCGTTGCCATTTTGGATTGTTTTAGTACAATTGAGAATAATCATTTTCTTGGATGCTCAATGGGGGATGTAGGTGTTAGAAGTGGTCACTGAATCTCCGGGATTAAGGCCGAAATAATTCTTTGGTGTTCATTTTAGTTTTCTAGAGTTTACTTTTCAGTTGATTCGATTATTCATATTTCTCTATTCTTATATTGTGTGTGGTCTTGGCTTTACATTTTCGTATATATATAGGTGTAGAGAGGAAATACATCCCATCCTTTACCCTCTATTTATAAGTGAACCACTAAATGACAAAAGTTATTACGAAATATGCACATATTGTCTCCATATCATAGAGCGAATAGTGTGGCACTTAAACTTTTCAACAGTTAATGAGGATCATATTACTTTAATTTTAGACACATGTCGAGTCTCAAGCTCGACTTGATCGGTGATCAAGGCAATTAACAACCGAGCTCATTTATAATATATTCGAGTCTAAGTTGAGGACATTCACTTGTAACTTACATTGAATATTTCCAAGCAGCCTCAAGTCGACATTGATTAGCTCGATCTAACTCCCAAACAAGGTCATATACTTTAACACTTTTTGCTTCAACCTTGAAAATTTGAGTCGAATACATAACATGCTTTCAACTTTTTTGTTTAAGGAAATCTGGGTCCAGTAACCCTATCGAGCTGTGACAAAGCCAGACAGTTTATTGTGGGATCAAAAATTACGATACAATTTTTTATTTTTGTTTTTTGAGAACAAAATAACATTATTGAGAACGAGTCAATACATTACTACATTTGAAGCTTTCGAATAACCATAATTTGAAAACATCGTTATCAATATTATCAAATAATGAACAGATCCAAAAATAGTAAAACCGAATATATTACACCACCTCAGTGCAAAAAAATGACGCACCAAAAATTAGGATTATCTTTACCTAAAGCAAACTAACACAATTCTTGAAATTTGTTACTTATTAATCCCACTAACTCTAGCGTTTACTTTCAAAAGCTATTAGTT